CACCTACTACACACCGTAGATGTTCTTTTGGAAAATATACTTGTGACAACAAAATACATAATGCAGATTTCCCAAATCTACGTACATTGCAAGTGTGTTGCACTACAATTTCCACTGGCCATTAAGCATTGTGGGAACTACAATCTAGTATTGTACCTCTAGTACCCAAACCAGATTCGGGAAAATAAAAAAGCAAAGTGTGCTGCTTATACACCACTCGATAGTGCTTAGAGCACTCTCTGGACTGTTTACAATTTAATGATTCAGGCTACACGTTGCCCCCATGCCCAGGAAGCTGGATACTCATTTTACCAACCTCAGAATGATGGAAGGCTAAGTCAACATTGAGCCAGCCCTCACAGCCCATTGGGATTGAACTCAAGTCACGAGCAGAGTTTTGACTGCAGTATTGCAGTTTAACCACTGCACTACAACTGAACATCTGCTATTGTTTTCCACCATGAACCCAGACACTCCCCTGCTCTGCTCATTCTCTGTACTCCTTTAGTTGATCAATGAAGCCACCCCAAGTACAGAGCTGGTAATGTTTTTACTACAACTCCCACTATCTTCAGCCAGCATGAGCAGACCAGTGTCCTCCTTTTTTTTTAAATAAAGGGGGGGGGCATGTATTTAGTTTTGATGATGTAATTGGCCACTTGACTCAACAGAGAGCAGACCTCAATTTGAAAGCATTCTCAGTTTGACATGAGGTCCAGTCAAGTCTAGGGTTAAATGCAAATAACCATTCAAAAAGATGACAGTGGCAGAACGGACAGATGCACAGGTCACCTGGTCACTGTCTTTCCCCTGTGTTGAAAAATATGTCATTTCTATTTAAATTGAAGTCATTTCCCCAACTCTGCATGCATACATATACCTTAGCCCACAAAACTATTAAGCAAATCTTTTTCATCTCTTTTGTTATCTTTTTAAGAGAATGATAACTAAGTGAGCAGTCTTCTCTCATTAGAATTGCAAGGGTGAGAAGCAGAGGCATCATGGCGTGATGATGATCTTAAGAATCGGAAGTGTCCCCCCAACTCCACCACTGGCATGCGTTCTTCATCAAATCCCTCCAAGAGAATGAAGCCTTTGGAGCGCACTTTTAGGTAAAGACTACAAGACTACGCAGACAATAACATTGCACGGATCACTTAGATTAAAAAAATAAATAAAACAAAACTGCACCCAACATGGGCATGTTGGCCTGAGGCATCTTGGAAATGTGGTCCAAAAAAGCAACTCTTCCAAGCTGCATTATAAGAACAAGACGTTTTTGAATGCTCCCTTCTAAAATCAACACTGAGCCCTGTGGCATTTTTTTTAAAAGCCCAGTCTTTAAGATGCCACAGGGACTTTTTCATTGTTTTCTTTACCACTACATTTTCCCAGGAATGAAAAACCAGCACAGCAAAGAACTACTGATGGGCTACATTTAAACATTGATTATTCCTAGTAGCAGCAGCATCAATAAGAGCGGGTGCAGCAACGGAACCAGTTACCTGGAGAGGTGGCAAGTGCTCCAACACTGGAGGCATTCCAGAGAAATTTAGACAATCACCTGGCAGATGCCCTTTGATTTGGCTTCCTGCTTTGAGCAGGGGGGGGTGGTGGACTCAATGGCCTTACTGTCCCCTTCCTGCTTTATGATTCCATGAAACAATGGAATACTGATTGCAGACAGGTTTGTGTAATCAGAACCTAGAAGCGTTGCTCTTCAGACGACCACTTCAACAGTGTGGCCATGGGCTGGGGGTTCTGGGCGTTGTAGTCCAAAAGGCAACTCTTCCCCTCACCTTTATTTTTTCCCTCCATTTCATAAATACGTGTCTTGGCATTTAAGATCTTTAATCAAGGCGTGTGAGCCTTCCACCCTGGGGTCTGGAGCGATGCCGCCCGGGCGGAACTCTTGCTAAGCAAACAGAGAGGGGAAGAGGAGTCTCGTACGGTCCGCATCAGGCATGCTTGGCTTGACTTGAAGAAGGCGGCATGAAAAGGAAGATCAGCCCGGGTGCCCGGCCGCATTCCGCCCCGGGGGCCCACGCAGATGGCTTTGCCGGCGGGGAGGGGGAGCTCCTTGCCTGACTGCTACGGACTACAACTCCCACCGTCCTCTAGCCTTGGAGCTACCAGCCTGGGGATTCTGGGAGTTGTAGTCCAATCGGGGCGGGGGGCGGCATCTCGGCTTTTGGCATCCCCTGCCCAGGCGCCGGAGGGTCCAAGCGCAGGGCGACCGCCTTTTAGACGCGCTCAGCGCCGCGGGGCTGGCGGGCGGGCAGAGGAGGCGAGTTCCAGTCTCTTGCCATCCCCAGGCCGGATCCAAGGGCTCTTCGCTCTGCAGGACCGCCGCAGCTGGGAAGTGGAGCAATCGCAGCTGGAAGCCCAAGTTTCTAGGAACTGAGGCGAGGGTGCCAAGCCGCCGCGAGGAGGGGCCAAGCGCCAGATCCGATTTCCTTCCCCAACGTGTGACCTCAGAAAGAGATGTTTAGCGGTATTCGCGGTTTCCTTATGCCTGTTATGAGGCAGGCGGCGGGAAAGGTTGTTCGGGGACATTCAAGTCACCGATCGTGGACGATTTCAGATCGGAAGCGAGACCGGAGGAGGAGGGACGATCCTGCTCAGCACTTAACAAAACTCGGGAGTTAACGATTTTTGGAATATGGCTCCTATAGGTTGCTTGCCCGTCGGTCTCGGACCTCGTCCAGGACCCCAAATACTCATGCTTTGGAGGACTGAAGCACCGCGGGGGATTGGCAAGATCCATGAATCATCCCACCCCCTAGGCAGAAGCTTTCCCCACCACCCCGAAGGCGACGGTGCCCGGCAGACTGACGGGACGCATCCAGCCCTCCGTCATCAGGCGCTCAGCCGTGAGGGAAGAAGAGATGTACACAGAGAGGAGCTAACCTCCTATTTTTCAACCATGCAGATCTTAAATCATCTTACTGTTCGGACAACAGTCCTCAGAGGACGAGGCGGGGGGGGGGAACCTTTCCAAAGTTGCGCCACCTGCGCAGGATGGGACCTACCTAGCAAACAGAAACCCCATCTTTAGGGACGAATTCTGAAGCTGTACAAACTTGCCCATCCTGACTCAGGCTATGTTATCTGTGGGATTTTGGCTAGGGCTTGGCCAATTTTTATTTATT